AGCAACTTGGGAGGCTGAGGCAGAAGGATTGCTTGAGCCCAGGAGTTTGAGGTTGCTGTGAGCTAGGCTGACGCCACGGCACTCTAGCCCGGGCAAAAGAGTAAGACTCTGTCTCAAAAAAAGAAATGTAAATTTGTCTTTCATCTAGGCCGGTACATCCTCCTGGGTAATGCACTATACTGCTGAGTGTTGGTATTTGAATCCCACCGTCTTCATAACGCCCACTTCTGTGCTCTAAGGTTCTTAAGAGTCCCTGAAAGTCAGTGTCACAAAATGCCACATCTGGGCCTGAGATACAGAGGAATTGGACATTTCAACACTCTTCCCTCATACTGAACTGTCCATTGTTGTATGTTTCCACAAGCTCTATTATTCTTAATTTCACAAAATAACATATTTATTTTGCATTGAGGTCTGGCTTAACTAAGTAGAACATCAAAATATCATTAAGATAATGTGTCCAAGTGACATAATTTGGGGCTTTGTCCTCATATCTCAAATTTTTATTGGTTTCATCGGGAACTCATTGCTCTTTGTGTTCTATGTGTACATACTTGTCACTGAAACTCACTTGAGGAAGCCTATAGATTTGATTTTCATGCACCTGACATTAGTCAATGTTTTGAGTATCCTGTTCTCATTGACACCAAACACCATGTCTTCTTTTGGAGTAAAATATTTTATGGATTATGTTGGATGTAAAGCAATTTTGTACATATGCAGAGTGACCCAGGGTCTTTCCATCTTTACCACCTCCCTCCTGAGTACTTTCCAAGCCATCACTATCAGCCCCAGGAATTCTAAATGGGCATGGCTTAAGTCTAAACTCTCTATGTGCATTTTTCCCTCTTTCCTTTTCTTCTGGATCCTCAACATGCTGGTCTATATCTATGTCATTGACACTGTAGTAGCCAGAACCAATGTCACTATGGTTGGTTCTGGGTATTCTCAAGCCTACTGTCAATCTGGGCAGTCTGGACACAACCGTCCTGGGTCATTTATGAGTATCATAGTGATACGAGATCTCCTGTTCGTGGTCCTCATGATCTGCACCAGCCTCTACATGGTCAGTGTCCTGCGCAGACACCACAGGAGAGCCCAGCATCTCCACAGCCCCAGCCTCTCTTCCCAGCCATCTCCTGAAAACAAAGCCACCCACAGCGTCCTAGTGCTGGTAAGTTGCTTTGTGTTATTTTATTGTTTAAACAACTTCATGACCCTTTATTCATTTTATACACCTGAGAAAAACCTAGGATTTGGCAGGATTGATGGAATTATGTCATCATGCTACCCAACGCTCTGCCTTTTTGTGTTGATGAACAATAATAAATTTATTTCCCAATTTATTTCTTCCCTTCTAAAATAAAAGTTACCATTTCTCAAGCAGCATTCAAAGGCTCATCTTACACAATACACTTGGTCCTGCAACAGAGGAGACTTCATATGTGAAGGATAAAAATCATGTGGCTATTGAGCACTTGAAATGGAGCTAGTTTAAATGGAAATATGTTGCAAATTTTTT